GGAAACGTTATATTTTTTTTATTTTTTTGCTTTTAAAATCTTGAGAGTTTTGGAAAGTGTTTGGGGTTTTTGAAAATTTTGATCCGGGAATCCGATACCCAAACGCGATGCTCTGACCTCCGGAATCGGGAGTTGAAATCCCCAGACACGGTCTGTTTGGGGAGGAATCGCCGATTACCAAATGGGTCTCTGCACCTCCAAACCCTCCCCAAACTCTCGTACTCACTCGCCGCAATCCGGTTCCCCAATAGCCAAGGAGAGCTCCGTTCCGCTGCCGAGCGCCGCCGGAAATGGGGAAAACCCTAGTGGTGAGAAGGCTGAGGAGGAGAACGTCAAGAAGTCTCCGTTTTTCCCGTTCTATAGCCCCAGCCCGGCGCACTACTTCTTCTCCAAGAAGTCTCCGGCTAGATCTCCGGCGAATGTGAGCTCGAATTCGACGCCGAAGCGGTTCTTCAAGCGGCCGTTCCCGCCGCCGTCCCCGGCGAAGCATATAAGGGCGGTTTTGGCGAGGAGGCACGGGTCTGTGAAGCCGAACCAGGCTGCGATACCGGAGGGCGGCGAGGTGGAGGGCCCCACTGGCTTGGATAAGAGCTTCGGATTTTCCAAGCATATTGGGAACAAGTATGAGATGGGAGAAGAGGTTGGGCGTGGGCATTTTGGGTACACTTGTAAAGCTACGTTCAAGAAGGGTGAGCTCAAGGGCCAGCAGGCTGCTGTCAAAGTCATCCCCAAAGCCAAGGTTTGCAATTTAGTTTGAATGGATTTACTGACCAATTAAGCTGTGAATTTTAGTGGGTTGTATGGATTTTGATGATGAGTGACCTCTGTGATTTGATATGAGTCCTTCATGCTTTTCGAGTTTTCGAGTACATCGTTTGAATTGGATCTGCAGGCAGAGACTTGAATTAAAGGAAAGAAAAAAGCGATTCGGATGCGTAATTGTATACTCTCTATACAATAGAGATGCATATTAATTTGCAAGAATAGTTTTTTGTGGATGAGTAGGTTGAAATTTAGTCCTGATAATGTTGTCCACGGTCTAACTATGAATTGGTGAAATGATTTAGTTTGTCTCTAGATTTGCTAGTTTTACCTTCATCGGGAAGCAACTTCTGTTGTTTTGGCAGTTGGTTTTGTTCCGGTACCTTTCTATACTTTATTTTCTGCTGTTTTCTGGATTTGTATATTTCGATTGTATTACTCGTCGTATTTTCTGATTCTGTTTTATGCTTTTGTTGGTAGATGACTACTGCCATCGCAATTGAGGATGTGAGAAGGGAAGTGAAGATATTGAGAGCTTTAAGTGGGCATGACAATCTAGTGAAATTTTATGATGCATATGAAGACCAGGAAAATGTCTACATTGTAATGGAGTAAGTCCTGATCGCTGCATTTTTCTTGCTCATGTTCTTCTGTTTACTTAACCTTCTTTCTTATGGATTCTGTTGTTCAATTGTCTGTGTTTTTCAGATTATGTGAAGGAGGGGAGCTCTTGGATAGGATACTTGCCAGGTAATTTTTTTTTGGTGCCTGTTAGAGCTCAGGGCGAGTATCTTGAATGTGTTATGTTTTCGTTGTTCTTGATGAACTGGGAAGTGGTTCGATAGCAACTGGTGTCATATTAAGTATGTTCCTATTCCTTTTGCAGGGGTGGGAAATACACAGAAGATGATGCAAGGACCGTTATGACACAGATATTAAATGTGGTTGCGTTTTGCCACCTCCAAGGCGTGGTGCATCGGGATCTTAAACCTGAGGTAGGATATATGTTTTCGTCTGGATTGAATTAAACTTGATGCGATACACTGAAAGTCGCTAATATGTGGTAGATGTGTACATTTTTTAAAGGGGAGAATATATCATTGCATGCAATTGCCTCCCTTTTGTTTCTTTTATCTCCTTTGTTGTCTAGTAAGAAGAATAACTGCATTTTTTCTCTTCCAGCCTCTGGGTGCTGTAGCTTTGCTTTCTTTTCATTTATGTATAAGTATCTAAGCACTTAATTTCTGGATCAGAATTTTCTGTTTACGTCAAAGGATGAAGATTCACAGTTGAAGGCGATAGACTTTGGATTGTCAGATTTTGTCAAACCAGGTTGGTTGACAGTTCTTCAGTACATAGTCTGTACTATAATATTTGCTTTGGCCAATAGTTTCATATGGTTGAATTGTCCTTGCAGATGAGAGGCTTAATGATATTGTTGGTAGTGCATACTATGTAGCCCCCGAAGTTCTGCATAGGTCTTATGCTACAGAGGCCGATGTCTGGAGTGTAGGCGTGATTGCATACATTCTTTTGTGTGGCAGCCGTCCATTTTGGGCTCGAACTGAGTCTGGCATTTTTCGGGTTGTTCTAAAAGCTGATCCAAGTTTTGACGAACCACCTTGGCCATCTCTGTCCACAGAAGCAAGAGATTTTGTCAAGCGACTATTGAATAAAGACCCACGGAAAAGAATGACTGCTGCTCAAGCCCTCTGTGAGTGCCTTATTCACTCTAAAAATTGTGAGGTCATGGTTCTATTATCAAATTTTCACATACTACTTTCTATTGCAGGTCATCCATGGCTTAAAATTCTAATGATATTAAAGTGCCTCTGGATATATTAATTTTCAAACTCATGAAGGTCTATATGCGTTCATCACCTCTCCGAAAAGCTGCTTTAAGGGTGTGTATATATCCATTTTCAATTGAAACTATATACTTATATGTTTGTGGTGACTAGTAGAGGGTATTATTCCTTCAAATTCTGTCTTGCCACCCTTTTCTGTGCATCAGTTTGCTTGTTTGTTTTGTGTTTAGTAATTTCTAGTAGCTTATTTGGTTCTCTCAACATTGGCATTTTGGCAGGCTCTTTCCAAGACATTGACTGTGGATGAGCTTTCTTATTTGAAGGAGCAGTTTGCGCTGTTGGAACCTAACAAAAATGGCACAATAAGCTTAGAAAATATTAAAACGGTGTGTTTCCTTCAAAATTTATTTACCTTTTAAACTCGATCTACGGTTAGCCATGTTCCTGAACTTCTTAATGTTATCAGACATTGATGAAAAATGCAACTGATGCAATGAAGGAGGCTCGAATTGCTGATTTTCTAGCATCGGTAGGTGCCTTGACTCTTGCAATGGGTGTGGAAGGTTATTTTATTTGGTATGTTATTAATTCTTATTAGTACATTATTTTTCATCCCTTTGGCAGCTTAATGCATTGCAATACCGAAGGATGGATTTTGAGGAATTTTGTACAGCTGCACTGAGTGTGCACCAACTTGAGGCTGTTGATCGATGGGAGCAACATGCTCGTTCTGCCTACGAAATTTTTGAGAAGGATGGCAACAGGGCTATTATGATTGAGGAACTGGCTTCGGTATGTGTGGATGCATGATAATTGTGCCTTTCTTTCATCTATAGTTGACTGATTGCTCCTACCATCCAATTGCTTTCTGTATCCACTGATTCACTCTCCCCTTCCTCGTAGTAGTTATGCACTTGGAAAGAACATTAAATTCTTCGTCGTGGTATAAAATTTTCTGTCCACTGATATGTGGCATTATGTGAACGTATTTCAGGAACTTGGCCTCAGCCCTTCCGTCCCAGTTCATGCTGTTCTTCATGATTGGATTAGGCACACTGATGGAAAGCTAAGTTTCCTTGGATTTGTCAAATTGTTGCATGGAGTATCTAGCCGGGCTGTGCCAAAAGCTCAATAAAAGTTTTGATAAGATCCACGGAGTGTAGATTGCCCATGTGGTCCTGACTCGTGACCGATAAAACCATGGTCTTGGAAGTGTGATTAAGTTTCCTGAATGCAAATACTCTATATTTTCACAGCAGCTGCAATTTATAACCGAGCGAATCGTCATTTGATGAAGCTTCGGCATTGTGTGTACACTTGGGACTAGAGTGATATGACCCCTCTGCGTGCGCGTGATGAAGCTATCAGTCGTGTTTTTCCACTGTAAATTTGTAGTATTAGTTTAGTGTGTCTAGTTGCAGATTAGAATAGTTCTCTACTTGTTTCTAAACGATCGCACTTCGATGTTTCTGACATTAGAGGGGCGGGACATGGCCAGAATTGGGTTGTACCATCCCTCCTCTTGTAATACTACTATTTGATCAGCATCATATCTTTGTTTAACTTGCCTATTTCTTTCTCCTAGCCAAAATTTGACACAACGGCTTGTTTGAAACTGCTTCTTCACAAAAGCATTTATGTTTGAAATGACAAAAGCACTTTCAGTAAAAGTGCTTAAATTAGAAGCGGATTGAAATTTTTAATAAGCATTCAAGTGCTTCCAATAAAGCATTTGAAGTGCATCTTTCAAAAAGAGTTTTCTAACTTATTTGTCAAACATGATTAGAAGAGTTTGGTGATTTAGAAACGTTTTAAATCATTTTAATAGCACTTTCGAACTAGACTAACATCAATGAGATGGACTAAGTGGTGACAATCACCTATGCATGTGCGGGTGACCGTCAATTTCTAATGTGTTGTAGTGTAAGATTCGCATTGCATGCATTACCGGCTATTAGCCAATTACATAAATAGTTGTACTTAGCATTTCTTTAATATAAACAGACTCGTTAGCCCTGGATCACCAAAGTTCCAACCATAAACAACTCGAAGAAGGCAAGGGGAGCTTCCACTTTTTAACTTTCTATTTTTTTTTTTTTTTTTTTGGGTGAAAACCACTTTTAACTTTCTTAAAAGAACAAAAAAAACAAAAGAAATATTTGACTAGAAAAGTGCTTATGCACAAGGAGCTTCCCGCTAAATTCAGAGTATTGGGCTGCTGCAAGGCCCACAACCTGTTAAACGGCTTAAGTTAAAAGTAACGGTATTTATGTTTACTGTAGCAAAAGCGCCTCATATGGGCCCCCAGTAGTTATTATTAAATTTCCCATTTTATCCCTCCATAAAAATTTAAAATTAAAAAAAAAAAATTGGTATCTGAATTTCTGAAACGGTGTTCGAAATATTTGTTAGTTTTTGAGTTGAAAGGAAATGGCAGGGAGGGAAGGCAAGCGCGCTTTTATTTGTATCTCTTCGTCTTCCGAAGAAGACGACGACGGAACGGAAGACGGCGACTTTGGAGAAGAAGAAGATGACGACGATGGAGACGGTGACGGTGACGACGGCGGTTATGATGATGAGGAGGAGGGCGACGACGACGGCGATGAGAAAATTGAGGAGGGCGATGACGAGGCTCTCTGCAACAGCGTAATCCGCTCTCTCCAAGGTTCGTTTTTCGTTGAGAAATTTTTGGAATTTTCAATTTCCACAAGCGTTTCTCTGTCTCGATGCTTTTTTTTTCAGCTGCCGCTGTTCGAAATGTTTGATTTTGATTTCATAAATTGAGTATCTGAGTCGAGTTTGTTTGATTGAGTGTTGATTAAGAACCCTAAACCCTGATTAACGCAATGCGTGTGATAAATTTGCTTTGAATTATTGCGTTTGGCAGAAGGGAGTGATTTGGTTTCTTTAAATCTCAAAGAGTGCAAGGCGTATTTGCGGAGGCACGGCCTCAGAATCTCCGGAACCAAAGCGGTTTGTATTCAGAGAATTGAAGAGCATTGGAGGTGAGTTCTTTTGAGTTTCGAGTCATTATTCAACTCTTTGTTACTTTCATGGCATGTTTGCTAAACTGTAATCGGTAGTTATTTTGCTAAACGATCGGGAATTAGAGTAGGAATGGTACTGATTCCATATTGATTTGGCTATTGAATGATTGCTTCTTATCATTTTAGGTTGAAGGATGGAAATGGGGAAGCACTGTATCCAAGATCATCCTTCGTAATTAATTGTACAGGTTAATATCTTTCTTTACTTTCTTAATTTGTATCATTAGTTCTCCATCTGTGCACCATTTTTTGCTGAAATTTTGCAGTTCATTGCAGGTGATGTCTGTAAGGGAGATGTCGTGCTCTTCACCCAGAAAGTTTATGAGAAGTATCCACTTATCCCGGTTCTTTTAATCTCATAGTTTTGTCATGTGATGCTCGTTCTTCAATTATTTTGGTAGTGTAATTCAAGCATTTGATTTCAAACAGGTTTGACAAAGTGACAAGGCATGGAAGGGTTCTAGGGAAGAGAACTGTTGCTGGCTGGGTTGTTAAAGAAAGCTATGGTGCAGCCAAACAGCAACATACTTTTACGGTGAGGCTTGAGGCTTAAGGTTCTCTTCTGGCTGTAAATTTAAGTTTATTTTGGGTATACATGTTGGAAGTTGGCAATATTCTAGGTTCATATATAAAAGTTAAGAGAGTAGGGTCAAGGAGAAATGAAGATTTGCGTTTAAGTAACCTGCTGTTTTGTATCGTAGACTCGTAGTGTACTGTGTAGTTGTTTGTGACTCTTTTAACCAACCACTGTTCCTGATGTGCAAGGTTGAAGTGCTATGGAGCAGGGGAATAAAGAAGCTGTGTCCACTATTTCCTTTGCTTGTGAAGGGTCGTAATCTCTACAAATTGAGAACATTTAGACAGGTAGCTGTGAATATTGTGTCTTTTATTTATTCTTTTAGCATTAAAGTATTAAGGTTTTGGTTGCTTGCATGTTTTCTTTACCACCGTTTAGTGTTGGAGTAATGAAGCTGAAAGATCAAAAGTGCTTGCTGAGAAGCACCAACGAGGTGAAGCAGCAAGGCGTGTTAGAGCGAATAAAAAATCAAGGAAGTGGACTGAAAATGGAGGTATTAGGAAGAAAACAAAGCAGTTTACTTGCATGTTACTTCTTTTACATCATCAATCTTTCTCCTGCTCCAGCTGTGAGCGATTGTTTATGTATTTCTTTGTTTTAGATGGGGATTTTTATGTCATGATTATGTCTTATATGATCAGGTGGGAAGCGTCGGAAACAATCACATTCTACCAGACCAAATCAAATTAGAAAGAACAATGAATCAGAAAAGGGGAAGCATTTTGACAGACTCCAAAGACAGACATCCTGTGGATCTGCAAAGCATAATAGTTTCTCTCAACATCAAGCAGCCCTACCATCAAAACAGATGAGGAGTAAAGCCTCTCAACCTTTTAGGAGGCATCAAAAATCAGCAGGCCCAAATATTGATAGAGTCCCCGCTCTTCATTCTCAGTCTGTCCCTCACATTCCTCACCAATCTCAAGTAGAATTTCAACACAGAAGTGCACCTTTCCAGTCTTTCGGTCATGTCATGGGCTCCACTTCAACCATGTTGAGATATCCTGTGACAACTAATTTTGATACATTTATTGTACCTGACTCACAATTTCATAGGCTCAATAACAGCAATTGTAGCCACCATGGTTACATAGATCCTGGACACAATATCACGAATCAGAATCACTTATCTGGCGTGAATGTCGGCAGGCCATTTCATCCGTATATTTCAGGAGCTGAGACATATGGGGAATGGAGGTACAGGGTTTGCTCTAGTCTACAATAGGATGTTATTACTGAAGCTCTGTATGCCGACTTATTTCTTCTCCTTGGGTTACTACAGGACGGGGCACAGATGATTTATGCACCTATTAAATTCTCAACTGTTGGAATTAGTTTCAACTCGCAGCGTTTCATTCGGTAACTCCTTTTCCTTTTGATGATGATCTGTTCATGATAACTCTGCAAGTTGAAACTACAATTGCATCCTTGTGTGGATACAATAATTATGTGTCACTATTTTACATGTCGGGATTGTTTCTCAAGCTTCAACCTATAATTGTTTTCATATAAACAACTATTAGACTGTTATTTCATTGATGTATGTTTCATGTGTGCCATGAATGTATGTACCTACTACCTATCTGCGCTCATTTTTAACTTGAATCAAAAGTACTGCCTTCGCCACCACACTCAAACTCCAAAACCTTTCCTTGTTAACGTTTTAACAAAAAAAGAAGAAGGGGTACTCTTTTGTTCTCCTTTTCTTTTCAGTTCCGAATTATATTGACTCAGATATTCCTCAGTTTTATGTTTCCTTCATGTTGCAGGTTCCTTAAAATTAACATTCTAATGTTTGTAGAGTGAACCACGGCATGATAAAATCTGGGATTGCTGTGTGAGCGTAAGGAGTTGAAGTTTACGCGTGTTTCCTTATACGTTGATTTAGCATTATGTTTTTTCTTCATTCCCAAAGTCTTCAAACACCCGCTTCGTGGTTGAACAAAATTTTTCTTCATTATAATTGTGCGAGTTAATATTGGTAGATTGAAAGTAGTAGTCTTTACAATTGTAGTTGCTTAGTTGCTATTTTGCCTGTTGCTAGAGAAAGCATCAATAAAGCATTGTATTACAGTGCCAGATTTTCATCTTTCGCTGAATATGAAATAGCAGGCGACGACAGTGAGACGCGGGAGGGTTTTGACTGTGAAGGCATGCCCGGTGCAGCCATGAGATGAGGTGCGCGAAACTAAAGATCACTAGAGTGGCGGTGTGTGGACTTTTCAAGGTGGCGACTGTATTAGTTTTCTTTCTTTTCTATGGCAATTGGTGATGGGTATAAGTTGAGAATCGTAGCTTTGGTGTAATTTAACCTCGCATTCCTGGTAGCTCCAGTACAAATGCTTGATGCTTTCCAAAGGTAGTTGGGTCTCTTTCTCCCCCCGCCCCCCAACCTCACATAGGGGCGGGACCTCTGAATGTTGACCGTGGGTATGGAATCCACATGCAGGTCTGTGGTCGATTGTAATCTTATATAGCATTTTAAAAACATTTACTTATCATTTTATTTCAATTTTATATATCTGTTAGAAAATCTGTGAAGTAAACCATTAAGTGAGAGACGTGATAGATATGAGATCCACATTTATGCTAACGTGGTTGTTAAATTTGTGCCATGTGGAAAAAAAATAATTCTTCCTTGCATTTAAATAATAATAATTTAATCATAATATTAAATACTAAAATAATAATTAATTAATGAAAAGTTCAAAAAAATAAAAAAAAGCCCTAAAACCCCGACCCACTTCTCCCTCTTCACCTCCCTGACCCACCTTCTCCCTCTCCTCCACTCTCTTCACCTCCCTTCCCTTCTCTCTCCCCAGAGACACACTCCTCCATCTTCACCTCCTCAACCTACCTTCTCCTTATCCTCCACTCTCTTCACCTCCCCTCCCTTTTCTCCCCTTAGATCAACCTACACCCAACCCTAATCCCCAAAATTTTATTAGCCCCAATTTTGGGCATTGGATCGAGTTTTCGTGGAAGGACTTGATTTTAGGCGGCTAGAGTTTGGAATCGAAGGTTGGACAGGAAATTTGATGGGGGTGTTGAGCCAAGTGTCGAGGACATTGGAGTTGTTGATGGGGTGAGAGTTTTGGGCGTCAAAGGGGGTGAGGCAAGTGGCGGTGTACGAGTGAGTTATTGGAGGGAAAGATGTTGCAACGAGAGGAGAGGAGGAGGTGATGGATCTCGCCTTCACCTTCGTCTCCATAAATGGGCTTTTTAGGGCTTCAAAAAAAAAAAAAAAAAACATTTCTTTAAATTAATTATTTTAGCATTTAATATTCTGATTAAATTATTATTTTTTAAATGCAAAGAAACTTTTTTATTTTGTTACGTGGCACAAATTTAGCAGTCACGACAACACAAATATGAATCTTATATTTGTCACGTCATCACTTAACGAATTTTTTAACGGATATACGAAATTGAAATGTTTTAAAGATATTGTATGCCTACGCAAGAAATTCTCCTTTCAAGAGTCCGTTGTAGGTAAATTAGGTGTTCCATCAGAATGAAGTTCCCTAGTAAAAATTTTGCAATGATTCATACCGAATGATTATAATAAGACGACAAGAAACTTGGGATAAGTCTTTAATAATTTGAACTACTGAGTGGTTTGATTTTATGTCTATAATATTGTCAAGGAACAAAAAGTAATCATGACCGTTCGTTTCTAGCTCACTGGATAGTCTAAACTGTAAAATAAAATCTGAGAAATTAGATTTGGGTCACGGGATTTGTAAGAAACGTGGCGTGTCAACAGTGGACGGAGGTTGCTATAAGGAACTTTTGAGATGGGACATTTTTGTACAGTTGTATTGTATGTACCTCCTCTCTTTCATATCTGTCATATCTGCAGACGTCATTAGTCACCTAGCCCCTACACCCTACTCACTACAGCTACTAGTTGGACATATTGGTTACCCTGGTCTTGCCACCTCCAACTAACTTTAATTGCTCGTGGGTCCCCCTAAATGACGGCCATTCTGAGAAATAATGTTTTTGTCGATCTTACTATCTTCCAATAATATGAGAAACAACAACGCATGGATGAATTCTGATCGTTAATGTAATTGCAGACTTCACATGCATCGGTAGTTATGAATCATGAATGTAAATGTATTGCGGGCGTTGAATGCATTAGTGATTAGAATTAAATTGCTCGTAGCATAATTCACGTTCACTTGCATACTGGAAAATGGATTAACAGAGGTGGGATGGTTCAACGTGTATGGCCAATTACGACAGTTGATGTTATAGGAGCTTTATATGCATCAATAGTTAGAAATTAGTATCATTTGCATAATTTTTTTTTTTTCTCTTTTCTTGACGAGAAAGACTGATATGAAACGTGTGTTATCGTCAATGTAACATTTTTTTTCCGATCAACCAATGACATGTGTAAGTTTCTCAATACATATTATTGATTAGTCCACTAGAGTTTAAGATCTGATCTCTCATACAATGTTGTTGCCACCCGCTACAACTGACATCTCCAATGCAATGTTGCCACCACCACCCACCGCAATTGACTCACATCGTACCTTTTTTTTTTTTTTGGCAAAGTGCTACTTTTATTATTGACCAAAAGCAAACAAAAATACAACTAAAGGCCCAAAGCTAACACATGGACAAGCAAACAATGGGCCAAGACAAAACAAAGTACAATAGGGCCAACCAACTGTTGCAGCCCAAACACATAGACGGATTTACAAACTCTAGAAGCATCCACTGCAACCGTCGCCGCCACAGCAACCTTGATTCGTCCAATTCCTCATCCACAGTCGAGTATCTCCTCTTCAGACGCAACATCCTACCCTGATTTGCTTCACGAGCACAACCACAAAGAATGGATAACCATCAATAGCACAACGAAAGCCAGCTATCAGGATGAAGTCCGTGGAAGCCCATGAACAACGCTGCCGGTAAAGGCAGATAATCAGGAGAAGGTGGTGGTGGTGGTGTTGGAAACACTCGAGCCGATGAAAACACCGGAGCTCTACACACAATCTCCACGATATTCATGGCTGGAAATCGAAATAATGATGAACTAAGAAGAAGGACACCAACTGGGCAAGAGGGATAAAACAGATCTGATTAAAAGAAGGGGGAGAGTGTAGTAAAAACAAAGAGTAGAGGAGAGAAATAGAGAAAGGAGGAAACGGCGACCAACCCCAGCCGCGGCTAGGGTTGGCGCCACGGGGTTTTCTTGATTTTTGAAGATTCACAATAGAAGGTGAGAAAGACTCTCAGTAGGAGAGAAAAACTCTCACTCAAAGAGATTGTGTTCGGTTGACAAGAGTGGCGGTTAGGCCAAATTTGGCTACTTTCCACTTCCGGTATTCATTTGGCATTTGAGCCAAAATAGTTTATAAGATTGGCATAATTTCTATCCTTAGTTTCTGAGATTTGAAATCGAAAGATGAAGTCCCTGAGTTTGTCCACCATCAATCATTTTTGTCATTTCATGAAAAATCTATGTTAAGCAGAACCAAAACGACAAAAATACCCTTAAATTAATAAATAATGAGCTAAAATGATTTGACAAAATTTAAGGTATTTTTATCATTTTGGTCTTATTTAAAGGAGATTTTTCACGGAATGACAAAAATGATAGATGATGGACAAACTCCAAGACCACTTCTATTGATTTCAAATTTTAAGAACTAAAATGAAGAGTTATATAATTTCATGTACCATTTTAGCTAACAAAATTTATTTATTTACCTCTTAGGCTCTTGTATTTAATATCTTTTATTTTCAATAATGTATTTCACCTCATCAAATTCGGTGGTACGGTACAAGGATCAGGATCCTCTCCTGATATAAGGATGAGGATCCTCTTGATCAAGGAATGTGGATCGTTGGATAAAAATCTAACGATTATAATTATTATAACTTTAAAGGAATCTCCCTGTTTGTAGCTGTTGAATTTTTATTTAACGGTCCATATTTCTTGGTCAGGAGGATTCTCATCCTTAGATCAAGAGAGAATCATGATCCTGGTACAAAATATATAGATTCAGGTACTAATTATTATTATTTTTTTGTCAAGTAGTATTTCAGAAACTTTAGGAAAAGGAAATCCAAGAATTTGTGTGTCCTTAGTTGGGACACGAAGTCGTAATATTGTCCATGGAACCAGTGTCCCTAGCCTAGTACGCCACCCCCCCTACCTTTTCCAATTCCGTGCCTTTCCAACTAGATACTTCATATCCTGGCCGCACATACAAAATGCAAAATTCTGCATCAAGCCGACAACGGATTCACTTTCAATCTTTCAATCGTAAAACACCATTTCATTTGTACTAAAAATAAAACGGTCCTTTCATTTATAGAATGACAGTATCATTTATGGAATGACAATCACACGCATCTAATCTCTTCAATTACATTAATGATAGTGTTATTCATATGCTCATTTTTATCTGTCATAAACTTTGATTAACTTTTGATAATTGATTTTCTTCAATTCATTCTATTCGACGGTTGAAAATTAAGAGGAGTGTGTAAGAAGTAAAAATAGATATGTAGATAGCAATACCTTGACATTTTTTTTTTTTGAAAGAAACGATAGTAGATTAGGATCAAAGTTGTTACAATGGGCGAGTACAAAGAACCAACTAAGGCGATAAGGTATCCTCAACAAGTAAATCTATGATTACACTTGGTGGGGAAACTAACAATTCACAACAATGGCTAAGAGAAAGACCGAGACGGGTAAGGCGGTGAGCTACACCGTTGGTTACATCAACTCCAAATAATAAGAAAAATAACTAAAATGATCAATTTACAAATCTTAGAGCATCGTCAACAATTATTTTAAATTTTGTTAGTTTCGCTAGTCAATAGTGTCTAAAAACTATTTTAGCTATCCAATTTAATTTAGTATTTCCGACAACACTCTTTATTTTAACAAATAGTGTTTAAATTCTCTATCTAATTATTAATTTTTTATGTTAAACAAACTAGAGAGATCAAATTTTGTATGTTTTATAATGTCTTTTAATGTTTTAAACTCTAATTGTCTCGCTCTTTAGAGAATTCCCGTAGCACTCCTCATAAAAGTAAGGTTCTTGGAGATGATCTTAATTTTTTTCAATAATTTTTTTTCAAAATATAACTAGATTGAGAGGCCAATACGTGCGAATATCGTGGAGAATTCCTTCCACGGATACATCAAAGATGGCGCCTCCTCCACCTCCTCCTTTCGTCTTTACAATCTAGCTTTTGCATTGCTCGCTTTCAGTATTTGATCGATATCTTGTTTGTATTTGATGTTGGATTAGAAATCTTGTCTGCCTCCTCCTTCTCCTCTTTACAATCTAGCTTTTGCATCGCTTGCCTTCAGTATTTGATCGATATCTTGTATTGATGTTGGATTAGATATCTTGTCTGCATTTGATTTTGACTAATCCAAGAATTGATATTTAGAGAATGATCGTTGCATTCCATTACGAACAATAAAAAGAAAAAAGATGACTTTCTATACAAAAATGCAACCAATTCAATCATGAACACCAAACATCACCTGAGAAAGTAGCCTCCTTTACACTTCCTTATTTTATGCCGAGGAATTGACAAGGAACAACACTAGAAATATAGGAACACGATTGGGTCCCCTCAATCATTTTTCACCAACAGAACGAGAATCACATACGTATAATCTCATAAATCACATTAACACAAACATAATTATTACAAAATTATCACACTCTGTACACAACGAAAGCAATTCAATCCCAGACACCAAACGCGGTCTCAGAAAATATTCTTATTCACGCTTTTCTTATACTGGATTTAGGGTTTGGTTATGAAAGGAGAGGGAGGAATGGTAGAGAAACATGAGGGGCCCCACTCTCATCTTTAAGCTGGACCCTACTGTTTCCGGGCCACTTGGAAGATAGATTAGGACCTCCCTCTCCAGCATGTCCCTTGCTACTTGCTAGGTCAAGTGGCTCCTGGAAACTGGCTTCATAACTCTTTCTTCTTAAAGTAGGCTGAGGAAATAAAAAGAATTATAACATAATCATGATTAAGTAATTATGATCACAAGATTATGTAGACCCCTTTAATAATTGACATTAATTGGCTAACAGAATTTGGGGGGGTTAGATGGACGGAGGTCGATTTCTTGGGTCCAAGCACTCCGGTCTTGGACGTGCAACTGCCAGTAGGTTTGAGCCACCGCGTCGGGATCCATTATCACGTCAACCCCTATTGGCGTTGTACCTAACGTCGTCGTCCTCTGTGAAGCACTCGATGATGATTGGCCCCCTCGAGGTGGGCCAATCACACCATCAATGATTACATGCGCTATGTGTATCCCATGCGGTTGAAACTCCATCGACAAACATTGTGATAATGCTCTCAATGCAAATTTTCCGCAACCTGGTCATAGTGTCACATGGGTGTTACTGTCACGCGAAAAACTCTTTTCACCTTAAGACGGTGCAGTAATAGTTACACCTAGAAAATCGATGTTAAAACTAGAACTTGTACTTACAGAGTTCAGAACGGCCAGCAATGCCCTTGAGTGAACCTGAACACCCCGTAAACAAAATTGTCCCCCTTCCTCTTTCCACCATTCCCGGAAGCACCTTAAATTAATAGCATATTTAACATTAATATAAATTTGAAGCACATCAAACACGCATTAAGACGCTTATCGCTATGCAAAATATATTGTCAAATTGTTAATCTGAACCACTAATTAATTAAACTTGTTCTTACCTCGAACTAATACCATGTTTAACATACTATTAATTTTATGTACTATAAACACAGTAAGTAGCATATATCCGTAGTCCGTACAATATATATTATCAAAGTGTTAATCTGAACTTAACTTGTTCTTAACTATATTCAGGTGCATATGAATCTAGCTATCTATTTTTCAAACTGTCAAATTATATTGTCCGACTGTGAATCTGAATCATTGATCAGAGTTGCTCGGTCTTACCTGTTGAGCGCAGTGAAAGGCTCCGACGGAAGAAACGGTAAGGGACTTCTCAAACGAGTCGAGGCGGATGTCGGTGAAGTTGGTGGGGTGCCAATTGGGCGGCTGCTGGTACGCATTGTAGACCAGCACCTCCACAAAACCCAAAGACAAAACCCCTTCAAATGCCTCCCTCACGCTTCTAGACTCGGAGCAGTCTATCCTAATGGCAAAAACCTGGGCCTTCTCTTCCCTGGCGATCTCGTCTGCGAATTTCGAGAGCCTCCCGAGATCGCGGGCGAGAATAGCGACGGTATAGCCTTCGTGGACGAACTTGCGGGCTATGGAGCGGCCCAGCTTCGGCCCGACGCCTACGATGGCGGCTATACGCTGAGGAGCTGAGCTTGCCATGCTCTTCATTTTTCACGGTGTAGGTGGTGAAATATGAGGAGGGGTTGTGGGTTGGCTGGGCTAGGATCTGCTAGGTCATGAGTCGGTCCTTGCCTCCTTTGGGAGAGGCATAGCATTTTTCTCCTTCGGCCTTCTAGCTGTAAGCGTCTGCCTTGCTTCTGGGTTTTGGATCCGTTTTTTATAACCCAGCCTTCCCTGCCTTCCCTGCCTAAGCATTAGAAAAAATAATGAAAAGTGATTCAAAATTTTAAGTTTTTATCAAAATAACAAAAAAGTATTGTAAATGAATAATATCATAAATGGCTTTTTAGAGTAAAAATATCATTTTCATTAAAAGTAAACAATGCTTCGTTAAAACTCCCAAACATGTTAAGGTTATAGGTGGTGTTATTCATAAATTTATTTTTACTTCTCAGACTTCTTAATTTTTGTTTGTCGAATCGAATAAATTAAAAAATATCAACCGACGAAAATAACGAGAGTATAAATAAAAAGTAAAAATAAACTTATGAATAAGTTATATGTACAAAATTAATATAAAGCTTTTTAGCCAAAATGATTCCTGATATTTGCATAACATATTATTTTGGTCTCTAAGATTGAAAATCAATAGAAATTGTCCTTGAGATTGTCCACCATCCATTATTTTGATCATTCCGTTAAAAATTTCTTTAAGTGTCCCGGAGCTCTTGGCCGAAAGTTTAAGTAATTTTCAAATCTTCGTAACTCAATCGTTTCTTAACCAAATTCGACTCATAATATATCAAAATGAAAATAGGGAAGTGTAGAACAAGATTATACTTAGAAGCCCAATGGTTGCCAGAGATGGCTGGAAAACAGCCTGAAAGGTGACTGGTTTACAGAAAAATTGGAAAACTCTCTAGAAACTGGGTAAAATTTAAACGTTCATAACGTCTTCAATACTCAACGAAATTGAGTGATTCAAAAATAAAAATCATACTTCTCGACGAGACGAAGAGAATGGTACCTTTCTTGATGGCTAACTCTCCGTGGTTTTGTTGGAAAACGGTTCGAAAGGGGTTGTTTTGGTCTCTAGTTAGCCACTTTCGAGCCATTTTCCAGCCAAACTACGTCGAATTAGCCGTTGATAAAGGTACCATTCTCTTCATCTTATTGTCAAGTATAATTTTCGTTTTTGAATCACTCGATTTTGTGTAGTATTGAAGAAGTTATGAATGTTTAAAGTTTACCTAATTTTCAACGAGTTTTCTAGTTATCCGAGAACCAATCACATTTTAGGCTACTTTCTGGCCATCTCCGGCTACTTTCCGGCCATCTCCGGCACTTATTGGGTTTTCAAATAGGTATAATCTTGTTCTACACTTTCCCATCTTCATTTTGATATATTATGGGTCAAATTTGGTTAAGAAACGATTGAGTTACGAAGCTTTGAAAATTGCCCACACTTCTGACTAAAAGCTCTGAGACACTTAACGGAGTTTTTAACGGAATGACCAAAATAATGGATGGTGGACAATCTCAGGATCATTTCTATTGATTTTCAATCTCAATGATCAAAGTGATGTGTTATGCAAATCTCAGAAATCATTTTATCTATAAAACCTTAATATAAAAAAAAATATTATATAAACAGTGACTTGTACCAAAAATAAGGATAATAAAATATTTTAAAAGTTATGGTTGACATTCTGAAAAACTCAATCACGCTAATTAATGCTCTAAACAAAAGTATCAATTATATTGCGAATTTATTTATCCATATCATTTTTTCTTTTTGTATATCTTATTCTATTTGTCTTTTAATCTTCCTATACTTAAGTCAATTCAAACGGTGTCTATGTTGACTTATAGAAACTGATAAGAGGGTTAATATTAATCACACATTTATAACCATTTTCTAGTATGTTCACATGACACTGTAAAGTGGTACTGATCTAATCTACTAACGCATTGTTAAGGGTAAATTTTTTTCTACATGATATTGCGTAGAAATCGAAATGCCATAATACCGGTAAATCGTGGAGATTGGAAGATCATAACAACCTCCAAATGTATATGTAGCTCTTTGCTTGAATCAAAGATCATAAATGAAAGGGTTATTTTTAGTTATGTTTTCTGAAACTCGATTTCAAGCTCACTTTGTTCCTTAAAACTCAAAAGTCATCACTTTAGTCCTTTAAACTCGATTTTTTATCTTATTTTACCCCTTGAAACTTAAAAATCGCCATTTCATTCCTTAGTACTCAATTTTGATCTCACGATCCTACTTTAGTTCCTAAAACTCGAAACTTGTCACTTTACTCCTTAAAACTTAAAATTCACTTTACATTATCTTTTTTCTATTTTTTAGAATAAGTTCATCCCATCAAAATTTATAATTGGTAATATGTCAAATTTCCCTTGAAATAAACATAAGCCTAAATGAAAGGGGTGTACATGAAATAGAGAGTGAAATAAACTTAAAATTCACTTTACATCACCAAGCTTATACAATGAATATAAAAATTTTATATGACCTGTGCTTATTTTGTGGAGAGATTTTTAGTTGTCTGAAACACAGAGTGAAACATTACGTGTTATTATATACTTGGAGGAGCACTTAAAAAAATTTCTCTAATTGTATAATAATATATAGTGTTCCGCCCTATGTTCTGGACACATTAAGAAAACTTTGTGGCGTAGGCATCATTAATTGAGATGGCAAAGGGTTTTAGAGTTGGACCTAGATTCTCTGCCCTCCTCATCCCATACTCTTTTCATTCTCTTCTATTTTTATGATTACGGTTAAATTATTTTAACATTTTATATTGATATTTTTTTATAGAAATAATAAGGTAAAAGGTAATAAAAAATAAAATATTAACGTGATTTAATCGTAATCATAAAATAAGAAGGAATGAAAAAGATATAAGATGGGAATGAGAGAGCATCCAGGTCGTTTAGAGTTGGGCATGTATACCACATTTATGACTGAGCTCGTTCTAGCTGTACAAAGCTTGCTTCCATTACTCATCCTGTGTCAGCACACCAGTGACTTTGGTACATCTGTCCCTTCTACTTCTAGGTATTCAAGTGAGACACAAACGATTTACGACTAGAGGAAAAAAACGATAATAAAAACAGAAAATGATCCTAATAAGGTATTTTGCAGTGGTTTAAATGAGCGTAATGTCTATTTATAAAAATCAAGCACCGTAAATTTGCTTTGTACTATATTATTGTCAAAGTAATGCGAATTTGATAAGGATGAGTATTAAATGTGGGATTTGCCAATTTTTTCTTTTTCTTATATTTTATAATTAGTTATTTATCTTCTCTCGTTTGTCATATATTGTATAGGAATCACATATATGATTTAAATATATTGAATTAAAAAATAAGAATCACTCTCCAAATACTCAAAATTTTCAATCCATTGTACGAATTTGATTCCTAAATTATTAGACTCATAGAATTTTCCGACCTACTGTGGAAAACCTAAAAGTTCAAGCAAAACATTAAACTCAATGATTAAACCATGTCGAGTTGAAGACATAGATCCATGAACAAAAAGAGTCGAGCTTACCATCTCAATTGGGCCACTTAGTATTATGGTCTAATGATATTCTTCTTCACTTGTAAATGAGAGGTTTTATGTTTGATTCTCGTCAAAGATAAATTTAAACCACATTATTTCTAGCCCATTGTGATGCTAAGCCCACCTACTCCTTCTTAACATAAATAATACTGTTTATTCAAAAAAAAAAAATCACCTCAATTGGTTGTAAGACAAAATTAAGTTGGACGGTTACTAAATTGAGCGTATATTGAATGAAGAAATTGATGTCTATCTAACCCTCGACACTCTAGTGCTCAACTCATAAATTTTGTGAGCAATTTCAAATTATGGTACTTTTACATTTAAGACCAATTTTGCTGGCCCAATCTTGACTTGTTCGGTCAAGATAAGTTGAGCTAAGCTAAATTCACTCTTTAAAAAAAGGTAAACATTGCGATGTTTACTTACATTTTTGGGACGGAAATGATATGAGATAATGTGGAACTCATATCTAATTGTTTATGCATGAGAGAATCATATATGGACCTCCTTGGTAGGGATATCTTTTTTAATTTTGGTAAATGAACACAAACGAAAGATATATTAAAAATGATAAGGATACACATATCTTTTTCAGCTTTTTGGCTAAGATCAAGTGTAGTATTTGTTCTTATTAGTTTAATATCTGATATGTGGACTAATGATTCACGTAATATTAAATTAATTTTTTAATTTAGGGGAAGAGCGCATTACAATAGCTTGCCATTGGAGTTCTCGTGCGTCGTCCAGAAGTTGCACTACAGAAACATGTAGTCCAATGTCTTAGTGGATAGGGTGTTGGGTTTCCACATATGAGTTCCAAGTTTGAAACTCTCCTCCTCTAAATTATTGTAATAATTTCGAACCCTTTCTTTCCTCTTAAAATAATAAAATTTAAAAATAAAAAGATAAGGATACACATACCTTGAATTCTCATTCATAATAAGTAAATTTGTCATCATGTTAATTTTGATAAATTTGATTTGGACCGAGATTGAGCATTTAGTACGTGCGGTTTATTTGCACCATCACAAATCCATCTTAATCTTAACTAAAAACGGTCTTAAGATTAATCTCACCCAATTTACTCATTTGTGCATATCGATTACTTGTATTTTATATCTACTCTACCAATTGATATGCATGTTTTAAAGATTGATAGTAGATTAAACTAAAGTTGACAATTGTGAGAGAAATTTTTTTTAGTGAAGGTAAAAATGATAAATTAGTAAGTTATGTTTATGTAGATGTAATTAGTTAGGATTTTAACTATGGTGATTGGAAGAAGAAAGACATGCGTATAGCGTGTTCACAATCATCAAGCGTTACAATCTATTAATGTATTAGACATGACAATGAATTATTAATAGGAATATTACAGTGCATGTAAATTGTTCTCGATTAAAAGAGGCACAACCTCAATTGAAGTCAAGTAGCAGCTTTCCTACACTCGAAGTGTTGACAGTTGAATATGTGTGGACAGTTTGTCCCATACCGATGAGGAACAAGGCTGGTTAAGAATTTATATGGTCTTGAGCTAGTCAATTGGCTTTATTGTAGAACTTCAATTTTATCATGGTATCAGAGTAGGTTATCCTTTGTATGAAAGCTAGAGGGCCACATGTGCTCTCGTGTCATCCACTTGTTGTCCATGTGCCGGCTTCGAAATCAGCCACACGTGCGGGGGAGTTTTGAAGGAGTTGAATATGTGTGGATAGTTTGTCCCACATCGGTGAGAGACAAGGCTAGCTAGCTAAGGGCTTATATGGTCTTTGGCTACTCTTCATATAATCAATTGATTTTATAGTGAAACTCCAATTTCATAAAACAAAAAGCCCTAATCTGGCACCCTATTAGCTGAGACTTCCCATGCATACCTGTATACAACCGTTGGCATACCCAAAGGGTACCCTAGCTAGTATTCCCGGCTCTTCACGCAAGGAGGGGAAAAAACAAAGAAAACTTGATTTCAAGATAAGGACTCCAGCTACTCTTTATCTTTGATGTGAAGAGAAAAAGAGTATTTGTCATTAAAAATCTAAATTTAACATCCAAATTTATAAATGTCCATTTTTTATAAAAAATTTCAAATATATCAAAAAACACACATGAATAAATTTAAATACCCTCAAAATTCAAAACCATTTACATAGAAGTGCTTCACGAGAATTCTTAAGACCTCTGAGGAGAACCCTGTTATGACCCAATGGTGCTCTCAAAGCAAGCTAATCAAATGTCAAGCACTCTCCTACTGCCACAGTCTCAGTGAACCTCAATGTTGTAACCTTCAATTGCAGAACTTCATAAACCCTAATGTCATTGACAACAGTCCCCACAACCACAAAAATCTTGTTGTCCTTTCCCTGCGTATACTTAATCAATCTCGAGAGAGAAAGGGTGCCGTACGAGAAAAACTCAGAGAAAAATGTGTATATATGAATGTACCATCTTAAATTTCAATCATGAATTGGGGGGGACCGTACTGAGGGAAAGACCCTACTAATTATTAGAATCTGTTCGTATATATCTTTGGTGCTGGATTGAGAGGGCACTTGCACCAAATTCATTTAAACTATAAGAAAAGGTATTTAAACTTTGGTACATCCGAAGCACACTACTCTAGCTAACTTAACTGAGCTCGTATATGCGGTTTAGATTTCTTTCCAGCTGAATATTGAGCTTTAGAGAAAGCTTATCGGATCATCTTCAACCTTTATACCAATTATATATATATCTATGTATCAATATCTGTCTGGTTATGTTATAATGGCTTGTGTTTTATGGGTACAAGTTAATAAATGGCCTAGAACGCAGGCAAACTTTTGTTTCCTTAAAAAAAAAAAAAAGGAAGGTAAACTTAAAGAGAAATATTTTATTAAATAGTATTAGCATTCCATGGGTGAATTCTTTGGCAGAAGATATATATATGTTCCTCTAAACCGTAACCCTGCCTCTGCGTTAGCATCAAGATATATATGCAGGCAAATTGTCACTTTCATAATCCATAGGGTAAATTTACGAACAAAATAATATCAGTGCACGTATTGTCATTTTCTTCACATTCTATCAAGTATCAATATTCTCATTGGAATATATATAGATGAAGACAAAGCAGAGTTTTAATAAATTTATAGCTCTAATTCGAGGTGTATATATTGTATGGCTCCTGTCAGATAATACTTTGGTTTGTGGATAAATTTGGATTGAAGGAAAGGGAAGCAAGCTGGTCTACTATCTTAAATGAGCTCACATGTTTAGTGGCAGTGGCAGATATGGCGGTGGCGGAGCTGGTGGATATTTGAGTCGCCACTAGTCTGGTTGGGTGGCAGTGATGGTGGAGATATATGTAACGACTTAATGAGGGAGAAATTCAAAGTCAAATACTGCTACCATATATCACTTTCAGGACTTTTTGGCATTTAGAATTGGATTGGATTTCTCAAAATTCACTGTTATTAATTTATAGTTCTAGTTGGAGGAAGAAGTTAACGTACAACTTGAAAGTGGAAGATTTATTACTTGTTAAGCAAACTTATTCATTTCAATCCCCTTCAAATGTTAGGGTTAGAAGGGCACATTTTGTGTCATGTCTAATTAATCACATAAGAATGAAAAACTGTTTGTTTTTACTTTCAGTATAACTTGAATATAATGCGTTATTTATTTCAGAGAAAACTAGGTAGCTATTATTTTGTATTCCAAAACTAGGTAATTAGTTTGAACCACCATAGTTTCAACGTCTTCAATTAAACTCCTTCTGCCATACTCTAGCTCCTCTTATTCGCTCCCTCAACCTATTACTTACGACTTAATCATCACTTTAATATCATGAGTTGAAACAAGCTTATAAAAGCTATATGTATACTAGTTTTGACACTATAACGTGAATACATATGCACTTGTTTACAACGGTTTATAAGAGTTCAAATAATACTAAACTTTTTGCATGCACTAATTAGCAGCAACTAGATAAATTCCAGTCCTTGAGTTCTTATTGGGTCGTAGCAAAATAAAACCAGATAACCAGTATAACTTTTGCAATGTACCAAGAGAAAAAGACCAAAAAAATAGAACTTTGCATATGCGAGGAGTATTTTTGCAAATTTTGAATAACTATTGGGTCTCGCGATCCGTCACGACCCCATCAAATCTTGAAGAACTATTGGGTCTCATCTCATTTAATGGATATGCAATGCAGCTTTTAACAAATGATATTATTTATACTAAAAAAAAGAAATGTGCTTAACTTCATAATGAACTAGTAATAATGTAGTTTAAATTCGTCTTTGGTGAAACTCGAACCAAAATATCTCAAAGAGAAATACCACTAGACTGTAGTACTAAGTGACGCAATATAACTTTTAATTTCTCCTATTTTATTCCTCTCTTCTTCTTTATGCCTTTTTTCTTTTCGTCAACTGATCCAAATTAAGGAACCCTTCCATATATGTATATGGTGACATATACGGCTAGGAATCAAATGGCACTATTTGCACAATTTATTATGGTCTACAATTATGTTTTCGCTTGATATTGTGTTTTTTTCTTGTTAGTGGGTAGAGAGATTCAAATTAGAAATTGCTTTCAACATTAAAAAGAGATGTATTTCTAAATTAACACCTTGTTACCATTTAATAGCACCCTCCTCGACATGTTAAACGTAAAATAAGAACTTTCGTGTTTTGTTTTAAATTAGACCAATTATCTGGTGCATACTATGAAACAAACACGACATGGAATTAGAATAACATTAAGAATTATTAGAAGATTTCTTGAGTCGTAAGTCACAACTGTGAGTATGTGACCTTTTAGAATGATTATGCGAATTTTGATAGACTTTGCCGATTGATTATTCTCTATATGAGCAGTGTGACTACTCTGGGATGGTAACATATCAAAAAGTTTGATGGTGCTTGGGTGACGATTCAAAGTGGGTAAAATGTTAAAGGAAGGTTATACTTCTAGTTCAAATTAAGGGTTGTTTGAGACTATTTATTGAAGTGTTAAAAGTCGCTTTCTAACAATCATAAGCATTCTTACTATTCTTGGCATAAAAATTTAGGAAATCATAGAAGCGGCTTTTGGAAAAGCACATTTTCAAAAAAAAATTTAAAGCACGTTTGGATACAGTTCTTAGTGAAAATGTTACTAAATCTTGGAAAAGTACTTAAAGTGCTTCCTGAGAGAACCACATAATTGGTGTTTCCTGTAGAAAACACTTTAAGTGCTTTTGGAGCTCAAAAATATTTTTTTTAAAAGCGCTTTCAGTCATTTTCTTTAAATGTGTTTTTAATAGAGCATAATAGCTTCTCATAGAATAAGTCCTAAGCGGACCTTTAGTTGTAACGAATAGTTCGGTCCATGGAACACCCAATTGCAAAAAAGAGGCCCAATAAAAATTGAACATTGGGGGTCCTGGCCCATCTTTACCCCAAAGTGGCTTACTACTTTGGTCTTGTGATTCGGTCGTTGCAAAAGCGCGCTCTCTCCGTCTCTGTGCTGTGTTCCCTGTCTGTATTTTTCTCCTTTTTCGGCAGCCCAGTCCTCCATCTTCTTTTTCTTCCTCGTCAAATCGATGAGCTCGCATTTCACTTGATTCTCTGAATCTCCGACTGATCAGGTATTTTAAGTAAGATCCAAATCCTCTCTCTCTCTCTCTCTCTCTCTCTATATTCTCCCTCCATCGATCTACTCGTTTCATCACAACTACCAAATTCGGAACAAAAATTGAGATTTCTGGGGCAATATAATATATATATATATATATATGTACGTGTGT